TCCCTCTGACCCTTTCTGTGATCTGATTGGATCAAATTCCGCGATCTGCGGCGCTTAAAATCCCTCACCCCAACATGAGACTAAGTGATTACCGGCTTGTACGTTTTGTAGGTTTGCTCTACCACGTGAATCGATTGATTGCCTCATTTTCTAAAGAACAAACGGAATGAATTTACCCGTTTCCCTCGCATATGTTTGATTCAACTAAATTGATTCTAATTAGGGTTACTCGAAACCGTAAAAGCTTCCGATGAATCTACCGTAGCTTAGGGTGAATCCGCTGATGTAGCAATCAAAATAAATTTTCAGTTCAGGTTGCTTTCGGTCTGTGTGCGACGTGTTTCTCCCTTGTATCTGTTGTAACCAGCAACGATTCGTATTACTAGATCTGTGTGACTGATGTGTCTACCATCAGAGGTCGTCTATTGAACCGGGTCTACCAAAAGATCCATCCAATCGGAATGACTCAACATTTTCCTTAACAAATAAAATTATCTATCAGATGCGCCACTGCGTACAGACGAAAGACTCAGTAGTATGGGAGTCTGATTGTTTCTTTTTAAGGAAAACAAATCGAGTGATCTTTAAATTGTAGTAAACGGGCTCGGCGATCAGTGACCCGGATTGAGTGCACAAAAAAAGCACGACGCGACGAGATCCGTTGTACACTTACTTATCTTACGGATATTTTCTTAGCCAGTTCACGATAATCGTGCCTTCTGTTTTTACTCTCGGATTCCCCGCTTGTTGACAATGAAACACTTTTACTCAAATCTAAATGTAACTATCAGTGGATATGTCATTGTCCGTTGTTCTGTAGTGTCAGTCAGACGTATACGTAAACAGATGCGTGCTCTCGACATCACCCGTCATCCGACGTCAGAACAATGCTCATCTACCAATTCAAGTGCACTTATGCGGCCACTTATGTAGGTTATACGACAAGGCAGCTATCTAAATGTATCAAGGAACATCAACCCACTTGGCTTAGACACGGAGGAATCGGAGTTATTTCCAGTTCCATGGCTGCACAATTAGTCGAAACTGGACGTAGGGAGGATGCTAATTCGGCTTTCACCATCATTTATCGAGTCCCACAACACAAATCCAAGGCTGTTCGAATTAAAACATTAGCAACAGCCGAGGCAATTATTATCCGCTTGTTGAAGCCAGAATTGTATGTCCAAAAAACACTTGTTCAGACACTTAAACTTCCCTGGCCCAAAGCGGACAACATCACGCATGATCGCTGCGATGACCCAAATCAATCATCAACGCTTACGTAACCCGTTCTTATCGGAACAAGAGAACTAGAGACAATAATTATTTGACCTCTATTTTTTGACCCCAACACAACACCTCTCCGCTATTTTCTCACACAAATGTGATTGTACTTGATAAGGAACTCACCCCAAAACACATGTTCGCCTACGACCTGTTTTCTGACTGTATCGTTATTATTATTAATTTCTCATTTCTATCCATATCGTTCTAAACGGGTCCGGCCTTTAATTATCCAAGTTATATTTTCTTGTTTAAATACGTCTTCATTCAATGCTTTTGTTTTCACAAGTTTTTCGCATCGTACACATTTTGGGGAAACCTCACACCATTGTACATTCTTAGTCCAAGTTCACTGTCCCCAGTTGCCCCAGTTCCATCACCCGTTTTGCATGATCATATCACTGCTCTCTGCTCCTTCCCTTTTGCTCTACTCACCCGTCCCCTCTACCCAGTCCTCCTGAACAGCGGTCACTCTTAGAGACCGAACACAAAGTCACGATCTCGACTGATTCTACCATCGCAGTCTCCCAAAACCGCACTCGACCACTACTCCGCCTACACACAGACAATAACTTGGTCAACTGAAACTGTGCCAAAGTTGGTAGCTTCGATGGTCCTATTGTTCGAACACGTCAAATTTGACAGTTATCTGCGGACTATTCAGGTGTTTTACGGAAAGTTATCCAAACCACCACGGGAGTGCTCGTTAATAGCAACTATGTATTGGACTCGCAGTTATTTGAGACACCTGTATTGATGACTACTGTAAATGCATTTTTTAGCTGCTGTAATCGCTGGGCAACTGTCACCCGATAGCCACAAGACTTGATCACATATTGCACATGTGCACTTTTATCCAGTTAAGGAGCATGTCTGTCAGAAATGTCACAAATGAGGTCACAAGGAAGAACACTGACGTGCTGATCGGAATTGCGGAGACAGATTAGCGAAGAAACTGGGACAATGCAGGTGCCTTCAAAAATATCTGGCCCAGAGTTATAACTGTATTCCTCTGATTAGAAAGAACGCGAATCACTGAAACGGAACGGGACTATTCGCCACTGAACAGTGTGTGCACCAATCCTCAGAGAGTGAAACTGTTTTCAGTACCAGATTAATAGGCTGCATACCTGACTTTGGCATTACAGCAGAAGTTGATCATGGTATTTCAGGATGGACTCAGATACGGTATACAAATTAAAGCGAATCTCTGCCTCCTTCCAGAATTTCCATCAGTCTTTCGACCGAAACGTCCGAATACACAGAATACTGTCGATTAATATCTTGATAGACCGCAGAAGGATGGCATTCTTCCACATTCTTGACATTATAAACAGTTGACCCACCAGAGGTCATCGCAAACAAAATAATGGACCGCCTTACACTGTTTGAGCGATGCACCTTTACTTCGTGAATCACCTGTCAAAGCCTAACCAATAACTGAGATTCAGATAACGGTGGCACCGATGTCGACCAACGCTGGTCAGAACGAACGTATCGATCCGTTTCAGTGTACACCGGCAAACAGAAACAAACGACTGGATGTCACCAACACTGCGGTACAGATTTTTCACTAGCAAGGAATGACAGCATTGCAAACAATTGGGGCTTGGAAAATAAGTCAATATATACTGCAGTAATCCAGTAACGGGGATTTCTCTGGTTTTCGTTTACGGGGTTTTTCTGACGAATTAAGCATTAAATGACGTACCTACGATCTAGTCCGAACCGCTTTAGATCATCTAGTCCAATGGGAAAATATTTAGTGTTGAGATTTGGCAATTGGGTTGCAAAAGGTTCTCTGAGAATTGGGTTATACACTACTGGTTGACACTATGTTGCAGTTCCTGGAATTTACCTTCATTTCTGTACCTGCTAGGGGTATGAAAAAACAGGAGGTCAATTGTAATACTCATACTCTACACATGGATGTTTCCAATGAATTCGTCTTCGTGCACTTAAAGATGCTTCACATTCGTTAGATAGTGAACTGTATAGATTTGGGTCCACATCCACCACAAAGGCCAGTTTCAAAATTCGCATGTAACTCACAATAACTTGTGAGCAGTGGTGTAGGATAACTTATATTGATCTGAAATGAATCCTTGTCACTACTCACAATTAAATGCGAGTTAAATGCGAATTATCTATCCAACCGAGTAGGTTTGTGGCGAGTCAGCCTGTGTCAAGCATGGAAGGGTTATTTTGTTGGGAGCCTTTCGATTGGAGTTAACAGATAGTCAGCTGTGTCACTCTTCATGACTGACTAACCATCACTGAAGACGACACCTGAGTAAACATAAATTGGCAATTCGGTTCAGCCACAACATGGGCTGGTTGGCACAGTGGTAACACAAACGCTTTCCATGCGATCGGTACGGACTTCAAATCCCTGACAAAGGGACGGTGTATATGCACTACTGATGAGCTCTGATCAGAGTGAAACTGGAGTCTAGTGCTTCCAAGTGTATGATTGACTGCGTGAACTGAGGAATGCGCGTGAAGATGAAGTCTGAAAGATGGTCAGTGGAAATTTTAAAGTTTTATATTCCCGCCATTCTTATTATCTCAATTCAATTCTTAAAATTTTGTCGCATCTCCTTGACGAACCGAAAAATGTAACTAGTGAACACCCGTCGCGTTTCATTGTTGAACAACGTCTTTGCAACTTGAATATGATTCAGACTATTCTCAGTAATAGCGATGTATAAAGCTGAAAATTCATGTAACATGGGTATTTAAAGCCTACCTTGATTTAACTGTCAGCTTAACACTGTTCTTGGCAAATGCACATTTGCGGACAAGCGCAGACACGACCACTCAGTATTCCTCCAAGTCTGCTTCTGTCCCAGGGTCTTCTGGGCCGAAGAAATGCTGGCAATGGCTAGTTTCTGGTTTTCACTTTTCATATTGCGAGTTTTCTTTCTGATCAACGTTCACACCTGCCAAATATGAGTATGAAACTATTTCTTAATTCGCATTTAACTCAGTTACTTGTGCGTAGTGGTGTGAGATAAATAATATTGATTGATTGGAACTGACTTTTACCGGACTTGACCTCCAACCGCATTCCTCAATTCACCTAGTCAAACAAACACTCGGAAGCATTAGACTTGAGTTTCGCTCTGATTAGAGCTCATCAGTAGTGCATATTTACTGTTCCGTCCGGGATTTGAACTCCGAACCCATCGCATGAAAGGTGTGTTATCACTGCGCCATTCAGTTCATGCCAGGGCCGAGACGAATAGCCAATTCACGTTTGATCAGGTGTCATCTTTAGAGATAGTCAGTTCCTTTTGGCCCGAAAGCAACAAAGAGAGACATCGTTGACTATCTGTTAACTCCAATCGAAAGCCTGCCACCAAGTCAGGGCTTCCATGCACGTTACGGAATGAATTGCAAAACCTGCTAGGCTTGTAGGTTAAAATCAATATTACTTATTTTGCATTCATCCCTGCGAGCATACACGCAAATGTAGCATAACCAATATCGTAAGTATTCTCAATCGCTGAACCAAGTCTTTCTCTTGCTTAAAGGTGACGGGAGCGGAACAAAAACACAACCAATCATCAATCATTCGGTTTTATTGCCGAGGAGGGAAATCGAAGGACAATCCCGTATTCACATACAACAACAGATTGTATGTCCAAAGACATCTTCTATCTCTGTGCGAATCAATACAATCATGCTATTTCCCCCCGGTAGTGAATCATGCATCAGGTCTGCAGTTGTGTTTTGGCCAGATCAAAGTAGACTTGCTCCAACGTCGGACTGCTGATAGTGAAATCTTCAATTGCTCGATTCCTATGTGCTAATAGTGGGACGGAAAAATGGGGATGTGAATAGCATTGTTGAACTGGTGATCAATAAAATGGGTAAATGAAATACGTTGGGCAAAATAAAACAACAGACCGATTATCACTCTCTCAAACTTCCTGGTACACGCACAGACAAAACACTATCATCTGTTACGAAGCTTTAAAAGCATACTACTATTCATCTGCAGCTAAACATGCTTACAGACAACCGCTTTTCTCATAACCGATCACAAGCAGAAGGAAACCAGAGTAACGCGGTGCTTTGTGCCCAATTCTCAGACGGTGTTTGTAATCGCTGCTTTATGGTGATATGCTGGAAGTTGGACTATGGGAGCCTATGGAAGCACCTGTACAGGTCGCTTCGAGGCACAAAGAGAGAGAGAGAGACAGGGTTGTGCAGACAAATTCTTAAAGCTGCGCTGTGGCACGCATACGACAGCGAACCAAATACAGGAGCAGAACCCGTCACCCGTCACGTTCACAGTGCGATTTGTTTCATCTGGTGAACGAGCTGACTGTTCTTGTGTTCAGCGACACAGGGTGGTAGGCATGGATTCGATTGAATAACCATTTGACCGTTCGACCGATATAGATTATTTCGCAGGAACATGTTAATGAGCACACGCAGAATGAAGCGGACAAATCAGGTTTTTCGGCTTTCCACCGTCAACAACAAATTGGATTGGATGTGAACAAAATATTGAGCGTAGAATATCTAACTGAAAGCACCTGATAGTACTTCTGCGGATGAATCCCCTTGAAAGGCCAAGACAGTTTATATCGAATTCCTAAAAAACTTGCTCCTCTTTGAAGTAGCCCCTCTCCCTATACCGAATCCTTGACATTCCGCCTACCTATTTGGTGTGAAGATAGGTCTTGGGAACCGGATCTTATTCTCTGGTGTGTCTTCGCTACCGATTTGCCTTGTCATGTCTGCTAGACAGCTCATCAAGTTCCTTTTCGTGTTGATAGTGTTCTTTTTGTGATGAACACGATACTGCATACTGTTTTATGCCTGACACAGAGAAAGCTGTAGGGAATATTCTGTACAGAAAAACATTAGAGTATGCGTTTAGGGTTCCATGGTCCTCCTTTTCCCAGATAGTGAATGATCTCGTCAGTCGGATGAAATTACGTGATAATTGTGAATCCCATATCCGGTCTTTCGATGATGTGTCCAGAATAACGGTCCATTTGATTTGGTTGATGTACCAGGTGAATGGGGTTACCGGAAACGTCAACGAACGAGCAAGATTCACCGCAAATTGGGTTGAGTGTAAACGAAACATACTGAGGAACTTAAAAAACTTTCGTATGAGAGATATTGTAGTATTTCATATGGGACTGAAAGCTTTCTGCTCCACGTGAGGCATCAGTGATTATCCTAACTCTGACGAGACGGAATTTGTCCTCCTTCTATTGAGTTGGTGAATTTTTGGATTAACCTATTTGGTTTTTCACAGGCACCAGTTTTCAGTTTTACAACCATTAACCATGCACTTTCGTGCGCGGGTTTTGGTTGCTCTCTTTTGGTTGTCTATTTGGATAAAATAGCGAAATGAAGATAGGAATGTCGAAGCAAATTGAAGCGGAAGATGGGGAATGCATATAGAGTGTGTTAGGAAAATAACGAGTGGATGCACGAGGCGCCACTGTTTGCGACACCCAGCCATATCACTGTGTCTCTAACCCCATCAGTCGACCATCATCTCGGGGTTAAGAATACCCCATCACAGTGATTTCACACGTTGCTGAAACAACCGAGGTCCCCAGCCACCCTGCCATATCACTCAGTGTAGCTAACCAACGGTGACCATCATCCCGAGATCCCCAGCCAGGGACTAACGGGGCCTATGTGACTTAGTCTCCTGGTTAGGATTTTCATACCCTCATGCCAGGTCTTAGCTTGACCGCCAGGCACCAGGTACTGTTGATGTTCGTTATGGGTTTCATTCCTTGGGTGATCGTTAATTCTCCTCTGTATGTATGCATTTAGATGAGATGAAAATGTTTGTGATAATCTGTTTTTCTTAAATTGCAAATGCAGATGCTTTTCTACGTTAGCTAAGGCAGAATAGTGTAGGTTGTACGGAACTTAAGTCTAAACATTGAATAGACCAGTGTCATCAATTTTATTCAACTTTCTTCTAACAGATTGATGCCTATTTTTTTCTTTATTTTGATAGGATTCAGGGAATGAATGAATGCATTACAGAACAAGGAGAATAGCTCATTACCGTCAAGTAGTACGTCGAAAGTGACTCGGAAAATTTCGGCCGTATTGATCGGCAGTCTTAGGCTGACTCGATCCTCAAATTGATCGACCACTTGAATTTGGGGAAATCGAGTTTTCAAGCTGCGCAGGAACGAACGAAGACTGGTCTGTACTTCCGTGTCCGCCTCGTCCGGCATTAGCCGATAATCGCGGGTCATTTTTAACTCGACCATCAAACCTTCACCGTACGTTTGCTTGAGACGTAAGGGCGTTCCGATTGCTCTGGTGGTTTGAGGGGAGAGGGGAGGGTACACTAATTTTAGACTGCTAAATGTGAATGTATTCTTGATTAAGACCACATTTTACAAAAAATATGATACGTCTTTATCATGACGCTTTCTGTCATACGAGTCGGAGTTTCAATGCACCGAGAGAAAAATAAGTTTGAACAACAATTTGACATGTGCAGATTAGATAAACAAACCAATTGCGTCATAGTTTGTTATGAAAACCCTTAAATCGGGGGTCTTTGTGCGATAGTAAAGTGGTAGCAATATGATTTCACTTATCTCATCTTTGCATCACAATGAAACAGGGATATTGCATGGGTACAATAAAGCATCGTTATATTCTATGTTGGTCATAACGGGTTTCGTAATCAGACAAATCGAATAATCTGACTACAAAACAGTTGATGATGATGGTTCTACCTTGCTGGAAGGCCTTTGTCAAGTCAACTGAGTCTCGTCTGAAATTGAAAAACCTCAAAGTTACTTTGAAATATGCACGTGTGTTTTTGTGGGTTATTACCAGGACTGAGCAGAAGGTTTCTGGATGCACAAAATGTTTTGTTTGTTACACAAAAACAAACATTATATTTTGTCGAAGTATTTATTCCCCTCCAGTGTTCATACACATTTTCATTCGATCAAACCATTTGAGGAAACATCTCAGCCATATCGAAGTGGTGAACCCCGTCGACCAGTTCAATAAAGGCCTCCACGGCAGCTGTTCGCGACTCGTATCGGATTCCACGCATCATACATGCGCTTAACATTTAGGAACACAAGAAAGGCACAGAGAGCCAGGTCTGGACCGTAGAGTGGATGGCCAACCTTATGGATGCGTTTTGTGACCAGAAAATCACTGATGATATGTGGCCTGTCTGCAGGTGCGTTGTCGTGGTGCAGCAAATCCCTCGTGCACGAGTCTTCGGACGACACCTGACAACAGCTTCCAGCACTTCTGATAGATAGTGGTTGGCGTACCAGTCTCGGGTGAATGTGTTTTGCTATACGAGCGGTATAGTAGCCACATGACCGATTTTGGTCATGAACACAGTCATCGTATGATTTGCCCCACTGGGCTCGCTTCGGAACTTCTAAGGTGGCGCCCCAACGACCAGACCCACTGAGCCGATTATTGCTTGTTTCTTGGATCGAAGCCGTACACCCAGGTCTCATCACCATCGATGATCTCCCAATCTGCTTTGGAACGGCCACCATTAAACCTTGCAAGCATGGTACCGTACCAAATCACCCAAAGTGCTTTCTGTTCCTCACTGAGGTGATGAGCGCAAACTTTTCTGAGGTCGAGCTTCTCATGTATGATGGTGTGGATTGATCCCGATCATATCGTGGTGGCTTTTACCAGCTGCGCCACTGTCACCCGCGCATACTCCTCCACGATCGTTTGCACAACAGTAACATTGTTGCTATGTTGTGCTGACGATCACATTGTATCACATTATCCGGGAACTACGAAAATCACTCAACTATTATACTTACTGAAGTTGAGCCATCGACGAATGCAGCCATGCTACTGCTTTAAACCACACTTGTAATCGTAGAAAATTACAGTCCGAGAATTTGGCGACCCTCGCATGACTTGTAAGCTGTGTTCGGCTGTTGATATTTGGTTGTGTAAGTAGCATTTACTGAACCATATTCGCAAAAGATTAGGGTTCAACTTTTCCTTGTCCGGTCATCTGCACCTCGTGTACTGTGTATCTGAAGTTGGTTTGCTCACTTCGCATNGCATAATAGCTTCACGATTCACGTAACGTACCGTGGTAATTTGGGTGTGTTGGGATCGGGGGACGGGGGAGGATCGGGGAGTGGACTAGTAAAGGGAACATGCCACGCCTCGGGGCTAGAGCGGTATTTCATGTGCGAAGTTTGTAGTTTAGCAAGATAACTCTTAAAAGGGGGTAAATTTAGAGTCATCCAAACTAATGCGAATAAATAATAATAATGATAATGAATATGCGGTGGTGACCCAATGGTAACGTCACCCCATGACAACCCTTTGTTTGGCCGCTTCCTCATTCCTGAAAATTGTATCATTCAGTAAAAGGAAGTAAACATTTAGATAAAAAGAAAGTAAAATGTCCAAAGTTTACTAGTTGCCGTGCCAACGCACAGACCCGGGCACTATAATGTACTCCTGTTTAAACCGAGTCGGGCGAGTGAATTCCTTTGGTCATTCTTGCCCGAAGAGTGTACGAACTCTCCAGAGTTTACACCATAAATCACGAATTAGAGTCATCTTTGATAAGACAGTGGAACATTATCAGTATAGATATGATTAGAAATCTTACA